GTGGCACCAGTGCACAGTAGTAACAGTGATTGCTTCTGGCTTCATCCGAATCTCACCATGCGACTCGTCTATGACAGATTTTTCCGCAACACTTCCGCCTTCTCACAGCTTCGGTATTTTTTTAAAACATTTTTAACACAGCGCTTATAGAATTTGGCTGCAAATTAAGCTTTGTCCTCTTATTTTCTTTTTTTTTAATTTTTTTTCGCTTAATTTTGAAGGAAATATCTTTTTTTTTTGCTACCTGAAGTTCAGTTTTGCTGCATTTGTAGGTACTCTAAACTTAGCTTGAAGATTAACTAAACAGTGAGAAAACCCATTCCCTGTACGATTTTTGGGAGATAATTTGATACATGCAAATGTCATGGGTTGCAAATTGCTCTCAGTTTGCTTATAAAGTAATGACTGATAATGGCTGTCAAAATTTTTATTCATAAGTGATTGCTGTTGGCTGAATGCTTTCACTTTACAACTTTTAGACATCTTCCCATTCACAGAAATTGTAGTATGAAACTTTTAACTTCCAGATGTCTGACTGTTTCAGTAATTGTGGATGTTAACTTCTAAAATGCTGGGCTTTCTTAGGAAAAGGATACCAGTTAAGGATTCAGCTAAGGGAACCCTTTCCGTTTTTACTTTTGATTAAATGCAGAGGCACTTTTCGCAAATTAACCCCCTGCGTGGCATGTTCAGACAGCAGTTACTTACTGGCAAGGCTGTCGATGATTTCCTTTTTCGAGGGTTGCTTAGAAGCAAGCTGCGGAGGAAGAGAGGGATCGACGGATCTGTTGAATTTCGGCACGAAAGCGGCCCTCTTTGCCACGTCACCATGCTTGCCATCCAGGGATTAGAAAGTGTTGGAATTTTCGCACAGAACTGCGGTACTAATTTATATAAATCTCCTCTATTATGCGGTATTAGCGCCAAAAAAATCTTTCCCTTATCGCATGAAATAATTTTAAAAAATGATCTCAAAAAGTATACTGGTCATTGGTAACTGTCTGGAAGATTGCTCTAAATTATTGGCTTCTGATTACTTAATTTTCAGATTTCTTTCAAAAACGTTTTGTTGTGCATGATGCATATCCAAGTTGTGTGTCTAATAATTTAAAGTTTATTGATCTCGGCATTTTTTTTCAGATTTGAATTACGCCTGCGGTTTATACCGAGAGATATCCAAGAGATGTATCAAACTGAAATGGATGCTTTCATGTTTTTGCATGACCAAATTTTTGCCGATTACATAACTCAGGTTTGTTTCTTACCTTCTCACTACCCCTATCTAGTACTTTTTAAAATAAATCCATGTGAATAGCACTGATCTTGTCTCCTATTTTTTGAAGAATGTGGCCTCGTTTCAGGTTTCGTGGAAAGTGCCTGCTGAAACAGCAATTGAATTAGCTGCCTTACAAATACGTCGCAAACTTGGTAACCAAAATTCGTAAGTGAAAATGTATTTTTCAAAAAAATGTGCTCCATTTTTAT